TTAAAAAAGGAGAACACTAAGGTCGATTAGCTTAGAACTTTGTTTTATATCTTCTCTTTGAACAAGATATAAATTTAGGAGGAGCATGGCCTTACAAACCCAACAGTGAGATCTTAAGAGATCCAGCCTACGGCTCTCCACAGGGTCCCCGGGGAAAAAAATTGTAAATGTAAAATAATAAAATAAATATTCTTCTGTAGCAATAACAAAGTTTAACATAAATTATTCCGTAGCAATTACACAAGAATATCCAGAAATGTCCCTGCCTACGATTAAACACATTCACTTACTGAAAATTGGGGGCATCTGCTGTGGCAAATGTGTTCAAGCCTTTGACCACAAACTTAGTCACTGCTCGGTGACATTTGTCTATCCTGGCCTGAAAGGAGACGCTACCGGTAGACTGCAGCGAGAACTGCCAGCATCTGAGCCAGACTCTGTCTCTCTCATCATGGTCACCTAAATGCACAGTAATGGCAGGTTTTGTAATAAGGCAGATCACGCTAACATAATATGCACTGTTAGTTGATTATTTACCTGCCGCATTAATGGGAGAGGACGTACAAACGTTACCGCTGCTGCTGGGTTGAGATTCACGAGTCCGGAGCAGAATTAAAAACATGACATTCATTTAAGGTCATCGCGTGTTTTTTGCATATTCGTAGTGTTTCCTCCCTTAAATGAAATATCTACTTTGCAAGTATTGCAAGTTGCCCTGTTGTCATCCGTTCTCGTAAAGTATAACCAAACTTTTTAGCGTTTGAGCCGCCATGTTTCCTGCCAAGTAAATGACGCTCCGCAACGTGGTGATGTCATTCGGGGCGACTGGAATCGATAAGGGAATCGTTTGCAAAAATGGTAAACAATTCCAAGGAATTGAAACAGTGGGAACCGGTTCTCAATAAGAACCGGTTTTCGATACCCAACCCTAACTTATTTTTGTTAAAAGTGCTCAGATTCCAGTTGACAAATTGTGAGCAATTTAGGATTCAGTATCTTACCCAAGAACACTTAAGGAAATGCACACTAGGAAAGCTGGAGATACAACTACTGACCTTCTAATTAGTAGATCATCCACTGTGCCTCCTGAGCCACAGCTACGTAATATTCTGGATGAGCAACAGAGCTGCAGAGCTTCACATTGTAAAAACAATTAATAAAATGCCTAATATTGATGAGAACAGGCATGAACACGAACTGATCATTTGGCGTGTCAAGCAATTCTGAAAGCTGTCCTGCAGGCAGCACTGTTTATATTCATCCTACCATGTCTTTACTCTTTCACCTTCAGTCTTGAAATGAACAGCAAAGTCTTGTTATGTATTCCCAAAAAAGATAACAGAGGCCTTGGGACCTCCACAGATACAAATATGAGATGCCTGTGTGGAGGTTCCAGTGTGAGCTGCATGGGTGAATCATAACAAACCTGAAGCGGCCCCATTGAGTTCTTCAGACCTTAGAAAACAAAAGGATCTACGCTAAACAGAAAAAAAAGAAATGTGTTTTTTGAGGATTTCATGTCATATCACAAGTTGATTCTTATATCTGTAAGTGTGGTTATCAGAGAAGGTCACATGAATGCATCTGGGAGTGGAGTGTCCTCAATAATGTTTTATAGTTGCATATTAATTCTGACAGCTATAAAAACTGTTCATCGCATTTCTTTCTTCGGGATTGAAGAATCAATTTCACCAGTATAACATAATAAAGCCCAATACAAACAAAATGAGAAACTATAAACCAAAATCCAGTTATAATGAACCGGAATTATGCTTGATTGTGAGTCTGTGCAGTCACACTGTCTCGATCACAGCAGCACTGAGTCGAATGATCAGCCTGTCACAGACAGGGAGAGAGAAGACAGAGCAAGAGAGGTGAGTAATAAGAAGTTGCATCGAAACGCAGCCAATGTGTAGCAGAGATGAAAAATGATGTCGAGATTGAAATTGAAATAGGTGGGAGTGTGTGAAAGACATGGATACAGACAGAAGGTGAGAATGAATCGGAGCCAGGCGGAGGGCACCGAGAGATAAGATCCCTCGAATAGACAGGCGGATGTGTGAACAGGGACTGGACAGATGATTAGCAGATGTCACCATGTGGACTCCGCCAGGCGGTGACATCCTATCTGAAAGCATCAATTCAAACACCTGTCAAGAAGGCTATAGGGAGGAGGTCGTCTGTGCAGTCCTGCTAAGATTTTTAATTTTTAGAAAACACACATTGGTGGTGTTTTCTAAAAATTTGCAAGGGATTTTTGTAGGGTGTTTCTCACTCAGTAAGCCCCATCTAAACTCTTCATATAGGCCTAGTTTGAAGTAGTTGTTCATTTCCTTGCGAGTTACAACATTCAGACGTCCGACATCAACCTATTGGTGGTGCTGTTTGTGTTTTGGTTAATGTTAAATGAGTTATTTTGTTTGTAAGTAAAGACTTGTGTGGACTTCCCCTTTGTCACCTACCTTAAGCCAGTTCCTGACAGGAGGTACTGAATAGAAGCCAGGGATGGCAGAATGTAACTCTTGGCACCATTTGCTATAAATATAATGCACTGTGACTGAAAAGCTCACCTGTTTAGGAAATTCAATGCCAGGTTGACCACTTGTCTGTATTTGGTCAGCCTTTCATCGGCTGCACTGAATGCTTCTTCAACCTGGTTGATGAATTTAGATTCTTGCTCCTATGACAACAGAAACTGAGTGCGCAGCACAAACATCTTCACACAGGTCTTTGTTTGATGCTAAGTTTATTTGCAAATCTTCAAGCTAATCAACTTTTGTTATTACAAGACATCTGGGGGGGGGGGGGGGTTTGCAACATCACTTTGCATTTGTCATCAATAATTTGTGTCAATTAGACCTGTGGATATTTAGGTTTCAAATATTTCTTAAAGCTTTTCCACTGACTGAAATACTACGACCACACAGTAAAAAGACATAATTAAAAACACGACTTTTTAATTTTTTTTTGTCCTTTTTTGGAACTTCAAATATAATTATGGCACTGAAAGAAACATTACTAGTCAATCACAAAATATGTTATATGTTTCCCCAAAGTGAATTATCTGTAATATAATTAGTGTTTTGATGTTTTTTTCTAATTATGGTTTATTTTTTATGCATTTCTGCCTGAAAAAAAAAACTGCCTGTAGAAAGAGAAGTGTCTTGAGTTGTAGATGGCTGCAGAGAACCTCTGCAAGAACACACAAACAAACATAAATAACACTTATGCAAATTTACATGCAAGACAAAACTTCGTGTTTCAAAATTTCCATTTTAGGTGCGTCATTTTTCATTTACCTGGCATAACGAGAATGAAAGATTACTCTCTTTGAAATAGTGATTGACTATTTAAATCACTATTACTCCGTGGTGCATGGCTGGTCTGCTTTCATGTACAGTTGACTGGTTAGCATGGGAATATGGCTTGACTAATGCAATTATTGTGTTGTGTACTGCAACAGATTGTAATCTGGTAAGTGCTTAAACACAAGGCCAGGCCTGATATGTGATTGCTGGAGAGCAATTACAAACCGATGAACTGGACAGCCTCGCTGACGCAGACAATAGAAAATAGCGTTGATAAAGAATAGCGTTGCTCCTTTACTTCTCTGAGAGCTCCTTGTTCAAATCAGCAATTTAAATGTCCTAATCATACATCAAGGGGTTATTGAAGCCCTTGATAATCAAGCAGAGACGTCTTTAAAATAAAATTAAAAAAACAAAGTGTTTATATTTTACTTTGAGCCACTTCAGTGGAAGATGCTTTGCATAAACGGTTTTTAAGACATAAAATCTCAATATCCAAGACCCAAGAAGTCCGGCTAAGGGGTAACGCTTAATTTCGTTGTTTTCATTCAAATTCTGTTGTTTTCATTCAAATTCTGTTCTGTTCGTTGAAATTCCGTTGTTTGTTTTCAAATTCTGTTATTTTCAATCGAATTCCGTTGTTTTCGTTCAAATTCTGTTGTTTTCATGCAAATTCTTTGGTTTTTGATCAAATTCTGTTCTTTTAATTCAAATTTGTTGTTTTCATTCAAATTCTGTTGCTTTCATTCAAACTCTGTTCTGTCCATTCTAATTCTGTTGTTTTCATTCAAATTCCATTGTTTGTTCTCAAATTCCGTCATTTTCATTTTAATTCCGTCATTTTCATTTTAATTCCGTTGTTTTCATTCAAATTCCGTCATTTTCATTCTAATTCCATTGTTTTGATTCAAATTCCAGTCTGTTCGTTCTAATTCCGTTGTTTTCATTCAAATTCCGTTGTTTGTTTTCAAATTCTGTTCTGTTCATTCTAATTCCTATCTTTTCATTGAAATTCCATTGTTTTCATTCTAATTCCGTTGTTTTCAGTCTAATTCTGTTGTTGGTTTTAAAACTTCCATTGTTTTCATTCAAATTCTATTGTTTGTTTTAGAATTCTGTTGCTTTCATTCAAACTCTGTTCTGTACATTCTAATTCTGTTGTTTTCATTCAAATTCTGTTGTTTGTTTTCAAATTCCGTTGTTTTCATTCTAATTCCCTTGTTTTCATTCTAGTTCTGTTGTTGGTTTTAAACAGGCATTTGCATATTTTAATGTAATTGTGTATTCATAAGTATAGGATGTGTAGATAAACGAATGTGAACTGTGTAAGTGAGATGTATAAATATTCAGATCCTGTACTTGAGCAGCCTTACTGACACCACACAAACAGCCTCACATAGACAGGATTTAAACAGTGTTTTTCATTTTATAGAAGTAGAAATTCTCAGTTGTCTCCTCTTTTTAATATTCTGTTTATGTTTGCTGTATGATACAAACTCACCATGCCTTCTGTGTCCATCTAGTTTTTTTTTTTAATAAATTCAGAATTAAAGGAACTGTACATAGTATATTTGGGATGTGTTGGAACAGGATATTCCCCATTACAGATGTGCTGCAGAAAAGCCTGCTGAAACTGTGATTCCATCATCATACTCCTTTATACATGTAAGGCTATTCATTCTCTCTCCCCACCATACTTTTCTGATTTGGTACAGATCTCCATTCCATCCCGGTGCCTCGGATTCTCCTCTTCTCTTCTTCTTTCTGTTCCTTCCTTTCGTCTTATTACCATGGGGGGCAGGGTTTTAGTCGCTCGGCCCCTCAACTTTGGAATTCCCTACCCCCTGACCTCAGAAACATCACTTGAATCTGTACCATGAAGAATTGAGACATTTCTGAAGGCAAATAGGAGAGAAGGTGTACCTTATGAAGTGGCCATTGAGTGTGTCATCTGTCAAAAGGGCAATATTATTATGATAAGTAAACGATTTTGTTATGTGCAATGCCTCTTTTAAAGTCTGCTACTTTTATATTAACATACTAGAATATCAATACAAGTGCACTGAAAAGTGTTTTAATGAGTCTACTGAGGTGGAACTCATTTCACACAGTTGATATTGCTGAATAAGGTTTGTGTTTTCTATAATTAGTTAATAAATTACTTATCTTACAACTACAAGGAGTTATATTTATATGAATAAATAAATGACTACTTATCTTTAATGTACTTATAAAAGGCATAAAAAGGTTTAGTTTCAGCCACCATTGGTTCTTTATTCTGCTGGCTTCACTTTGTCCCCAACTGCAAGATAACAAGTAAGTTAGCACAGCTGGAGTGTCTGCAGCTACCCTTTGTCTCAAAGTCACAATATGTTCAGAAAAAAAGGGGTTTTTTTTCCCCCAAAGCTTGCAAGAGCATTCTTGTAAGAAATAAAGGATATTTCATGTGGGAAATTGCTAAAAAACTGAAATGTTAGGGTAAGACAAATTAAAGTCTGAGGAATATGGATCAAAGAGAATAACATGCAGCCCTCGGGAGGAGGAAATGTGATGGTTGGGATTGCTTCTGTGGTGGTAAGGTTGGGGATTTTTGCAGTATAAAAAGAGAACTGACCAACAAATCGACAGCAAGAATACCAAAGTTCTAAAAGGCTGCGATTGCTACAAACAGGTAATTATTTAACAAAAGCAAAGTCTGAGGAACAATATTATATTCAATATTGATTAAGAAAATAAATAAATAATAACTCCACATTATTGCTAACCTTATCACTTTCTCAAGTATAGGAGTTGCAATAACACATTTTTATGCCTCGGCCTATTTAAATTTATAACTAATAAAATATATAATTTTTAAAAAATCTAAATCATAACTGATTTGAATTCAGCCCTCCACCATGCTCTTCTGTATCTCCTTCAGTGTACTAACACAATGACTGGTTGTTGTCTTTGTCATTATTAGTAAAAGTTACCCATGAAAATCCTGAACTATTAAATAATTGCCAGAAAATTTCTGTTTGTTAAATCTTCTGAAAAAATGCTAAAACAAAGGAAACTAAATATAAATTTCTATATGAGTTTAATGAGCTTAAACAAATGGAACTAATAACAGGGTTAAAGTTATTTTACAAAAAAATCACAATGGTGATATAGAGGTCTCAAAAACACATGTATTAGGTATGATACACTTGGCATTGCAGGGATAATTTATTTTAAAAGTGCTTTTAATGGACTAGGCACGGGCAAAATGCATGTTTAGGTGTTTTTCCCTCTGATGCCACAGAACGTTACGGTGGAATCTGCCACCAACAGTTTGAGCCAGGGGAATTCACAAATTGATTCATGTCAAAGAAGAGCATGCTTCTAGTCATGTTCCAGACCTGATGCAGTACCTTTGGGCATACACTTTGGATTTTTTCACTTAACACTGCTCTTGCTGGATTTCTTGGTTGTAGTCAGAGGCCAGGCTATCATCAGCAATGATGATCGCAGACACAAAAGTTAGGTAAGTCGTACACAGAAAATTATTTTTGCATCTTGTGTGTAAATCCATGGTAAAAAAAAAAAAAAAAAAAAAGATGAGGCTTCCAGGGAGAAAATATACTGGAATAATCCAGAGGGGCACGAGGATATGACCTTGAAGGGAAGATCGACCAAGTTTTTAATAAGTATGGTTTCAGATGTTTATGGACAAATAGTGCACAGAGAAAGAAAGAGACAGACAAGCCTCTTTTAAAGTGTTTTTATGGGAAGTGGGAAAAATGCTGTAGTTTTCTCTGAATTCTTTTCAATTTTCTCAGGAAAGTGGGAGAATATCCGGGTGCACTAGATGGATTTCATTCAATCTTGGGCTCCCTGCTGCTGATCCGGGAGACACCACAACTGGAACATCATTACTCTGCTTTTATCACCTGTTTTCACTCACTCTCGCCTTAACATTCCCTGAAAACAGCTCCTGCTATCTATCCATCTATCTATGGTTAGATTTAAAATTGCCTGTGCTATCTGCCTTAGGCCAGGGTGTAAATAGCATTCACCGTTCAGCTCCAGTGAGATATAGTAAAATGGGCCTCACCTGCCTATTGCAAAATCTCCGACATTAACAAAACACCGGCTGTGTTCACCACACTGATGAGAGGAATGGGACCATTCAGTGCTGAGCATAAGTGGACGTGCCTCTATGAAACCTGTATTTTTGCTGAGGCCTTTTGAATGCAAACATCAAAACACATCCTTTGTCCTCCTGGATCTGCATATGAAATGTGAGATGCATTTGTTGAGTGGTGGTGTTCCTGGCAATGGAGGGCTCCATATGTTCTGCATTTGTTTACCCAGTCATTACAGACCTATCTACCCCGTGTGAGTACACTGTTGTCTTAGTGGGAGCAGCACTGGCACACAGACACACACACCACAGCAGCCACAGGGGAGAACCGGTCCACAGGAAATTAGGAGTGTGACAAGATAAGAGCCAGCATTCATCTGATACCGTTCCTTGGCAACAACAAAGAGCAGTGCAGAATCATAAAAAAGAGAACAACGTGTAGGAGAAGATACGTGCTGATGTGAATGTAATGGGCTCTGTGCCACATCAGCTTGGTCCCATTACCTTCACCTATAGACTGTGATAGCTCCAAGACAAACCAAGCACCCAGCACTTACTTTCCTATTACTCATATACAAGCAATATTATCTATCTATTTGCCTTCAGAGTAGACTGGTGAGTCAATGTATGACTATAATTCTTGAAACTGCTGCCAGGAAGACGTGCAGCTGAAGTCCAATCTTACTTGCTGCTTTATGGGTTTCTACATCAGTGCTGATAAAGTGTTATTAAAGCAGCTGTCCCAGCTAGGAGTCACAACCAAACTCATAAAAAGTTACACATCCCCTCAACTGTAACCACGTAAGAGATAATGAAAAAGTGTCAAATATGTAACAATGAAGCTAAAAAAAGAATCAAGTTCAGACACAGACTGAGAGCTAAAGTTAATGCTGATGGAGCCCTGATCAGATATGGTCTTTTTTTTTTCTTACTGTTTTTTTTTTATGGTTATTCTACAGAAACTACCAGAAATGTTTCAGTGTAGTAAGCCACAGCATTAAACACAATAATTACTCTATTATTACATTAGTAATAAATTCAAACAAAGAATAAATTTGTAGGGTAGAAGGTAGGATTCATTCCACCATTATAATATGGGGTATCCTAACATGTAAAAGCATCAAACTATATTGCCTTTTTATTATGAACTCATTACCACATTGGTGACACTATATTAAAAGGTTTGCATTAGAATATATAAAATTGCCATTTCTTTACTAGTAAGTTATATAATTGTTACCAAAATATGGCTATGCATCAGAGACGTTGTTACAATTTCCTTCACGTTATTACCCCCAGTTATTAGCACACTACTAAAAATTTTACTCTAGTATTGCTCAGCTGAAAACCACACCTGATACCAAGTAGGTACAAAAGTATTGTGTTGCTTATTTCCACATTATTATCTTACTATTATCATGTTATTCAACAGCAGAAACACTACATACATATAAAATGCTTCTATAAGTCAATTTTTGGGCTCCCTGCGTCACTTAGCATACGACTGAAAACATAAATTGTGGATGGGCTGTAAATTAACTTTGAAGTATTTTTCTCCCAATACTTTATTTTGTCATGAATGTTTCTCTTTTCAAAGTCAAAGTCTGAGAAATACAATACGTATTTAGTTCAGGGGTTCAAATTATAATCTGAGTGAAAGAGAAAAAAGAATGATAGATAATAAAATGAAACATGTTCTTTTCAATCTTATTATATAAAATATAGTTTTATTATAGTTTTTAGATCACTGTTTAGGAGTGACACACACACACACACAAACACAAAAAACGCTGTCTGTGGTTCTGAATCTACAACTAAAAAAAGGAGTGAAAGCATAAACAACATTAGTTTGGCCCCAAATTTTGTTGGTTTTTTGTTTTATTTTTTTTCTGGCTCCTAAAATAGTGGGAAGAAATACACAGGACCTACAATCATGTTGGTTGATGGATTTAGAAGCTTCTTCAAAATAAATTCGCAAACTGTCAACTGTCATATACAGTTTTCACAAAAATACTTTGTTCTCTGTGTTGGTGGTGAAATAGTGTAGACTGAGGTTTTATGTGATGTGTTGTTCTTATAAAAATATTCCCTATTGACATATATATTGTAAATATCATTAATTCAGTTACATAACACATAAGTGTTAGTTAGCATTTGAAACCACACATCCATTTTCTGCAGTTCAAATAGAGATGCCCAGACATCCCTCTCCTTACCCGTCTCTTCCAGCTCTTTTGGAGGGCAGTAAGGTGCTTTCAAAGCCAGTTTAGAAAAATAATCCCTCTGAAGTATCTTCTTTCTACTTGGACATGCTTGAACAGCTCAACTAACACGCATCCAGGAAACATGATGTCCGATGTCACGCTATCTCCAAGAGAGAAGCCAGACACCCTTCGCTTGTATCTGCAAATCTCACCCTTGGTCACTACCCACAGCTTGTGTCCATAGGTGGGAGTGGGAACAAGGACTATCTACAACAACCTCGCTTTCATGCTCAGCTCCTGCTTTGCCACAAAAGACCAGTGCAACAGCAACCTTACAGCAAATGCGGCACTCATCTGTCAGTCTCTGCTCTTATGAAAACAAAAGCTAACAACAGTTCATTTTATCTTTGAAGTTGGACATTTTAATGCAAGTGTGAGCCAAGGTGCCCTGTCTGACTGCATGGAGAGCAGCAAAAAAGTGTTTGGCCAGCCAAGAAAATAGCAAAGATTTATCTTACATTACTAAAAATAGCATTTGCGCACGAGGCGGCCTCTTTGGTTCTGAAACCGATCTCTGGTCTGGTCT